CCACCAACCGGGACCAATAGTGCTGGGCCAGGAGCGAGGCCCATTGGTCCCGGTTCGTCCCACCAACCGGGACCAAAAGGTCCAGACGAACCGGGACCAATGGCCCACGTGGCCCGGCCGGCCCCCTGGGCTCACGAACCGGGACCAATGCCCACATTGGTCCCGGTTCTACACTGAACCGGGATTAATGGGCTGAGCCGGCTTGGACCATAGCCCTGTTTTCTACTAGTGTAAGTTGGATCATAAACACCATGAGAACAGTTGGTTAGGCCGCACTTGACCATAATTATCATAATTCTTGAGTAGTCAATTAGTGATAGCACATGTTCTCTGATTCTTGCATATTTGAGAGGACAGGACAACTGTATGTGGGATTGATCAGCAGGCACCAATTCAATGCCAGCTGATTGCCGTTACTTTTGATAGAGTTCTTATCAGCTCAACATTGCTTCTGATTAGGACTTGACGACGACACAAGATGGTCTAAGGAGACAATGTAGTACAAGAGTATCTCACAAATCATAATCTATGAGGAAGAAGAATATGAAGTACTACACCAGCTTATATATATTCACACTTGATCTACATAGTACTGTAGCATTCAGTCAGTGCCATATACATAATGAACAAGAATTATTTGTAGCGAAACAACAATTGTTGTAGGGTTACTACCATAGTTATTACTAGCCCTAATAATTACTCCCTTCATCCCTTGGTATAAGATGTTTTTGCAAACTAACATAGTTTGCAAAATCGTCTGATATTGTGGGACGGATGAAGTATTATATTACACATACCTACAATAAGAGAGTGGAAGCCTCATGGTGCATGTAAGGGTTTGTTTCCCTCACGTTGCAACGCACGGGCGCACTTCCGAGTATGTTATAATAGATGCATCATATCTTGTTTTTGTATCGATTAATTATATGCCATGCCATTTTTTAGCAAAAGTAGCTACATAGAATCGATCGGTAATATTTTGGATTGATGATCGATAGCTAGCTAGTATTGTAATTCTTTGTTATGCTAATAAAAATGTAAATATGCATGCATAATTAAGATTGTTCAAATATTTGTATACATATATAACTTTCCATTTGTAGTGTTAATTACATGTACTTTACGTGTTTTTATGTATATAATTAATAATGATATCTTATTAATTCATTTGTATAGTTTCTTAACAAATGGACGACAGTAGGGGATCGATGGAACAGGCTCATTGCGGCGTTACCATTAGGCAACACTGATCAGTGGGCCAAGATGAAGGAGATCACTTCCTGGTATGACAACTACAAGACCATGATTTTCAGTCGAAGGGCGAGCTCTTGTGTACCACACAGTACCAGCAAGACTGGATCAGGGCCGCGTATGGTTGTGATACTCAGGTCAGTGCCATGGAGATCCTCCTATGGTGTATGAGTGAGACGCATGGATGGATTTCAATCTGTCACACAAGTATGAAGACTACTGCTCTGTTATATACCCGCCGATGAGGTCCTGGATGTGAAGTACACTAAACCGAGTGTAACACTTGGCTTATACTTCGTCATGATTAAAATGCAATTTGTCGAGTATGTTTCATACCCGACTTCATTTATTTTTCCTGTAGTGTTGCCTCTATCCATGTCCTCACCAAATCTTTGCCTGCGATAAGGTTTTATGAGATACGCATGAAGCCAGGCTGGCTAAGCAAATAACTGATTCATATGGAATCTCGTATCCGAGTCCTTCTATAGTGCAACTACAATTGACCTACACAAAGGTCGGCCGGTCCGCGCAAAGGATTTCATGGGGCTGATCCATGTATAGAGGATTTAATGGATGACGGAGAAAATTACGAAGGGCAAAAACACTTTTTTTCTCACTTATATGTGGCACTGCGGGTAATTTTTATCAACTCAGAGAAACACACTACATACATTAAATCTCAACCATCAATTCATATGAGTGACATTAAATTAACCGATATAAAAGGATGACAGAGGCAGAACTAAGAAATCTTCCTCCTTTTAATATTAGGTATAAATGTAGATATAGATATAGATAGATATAGATATAGATGTACATTAAGTTGTTAAGTCATGTCTGTTGAGCTACGAGTGTTGAACCTATTGAACAGTTAGTATTGAAGTGGTAAGTCGTGTGTACTAATGGTGGATGGATGAATGAACTAATTGATGATGATCTAGACTGTTTGAACGAACTAATTGATGATGATCTGGACTATTGATGAATGATGCACTTATCATGATTGATGACTGATACATTTGGCATGATGATCTTGCGTGTTGATTAATGATGCATTTGGCATGATGATCTTGCTTGTTGATGAATGATGAGTGATTAATTATGCATTTGGCATATGGTTAGGGTAAATCCAAAACCCTTCGGCATTTTTTGTCGTCAATGATGACAAATATTGTTAGGGTAAAGCCTAAACCGTTTGGCATTGGTCGTCGTCCATGATGACAAATATGGTTAGGGTAAATCCAAAACCCTTTATCATTTGTCGTCATCAACCAACACAAGTTGGTTAGGGTAAAGCCTAAAGCCTTTGGCATTTGTCCTCATTGACAACGACAAATATGGTTAGGATAAATCCTAAACCCTTTGGCAATAAGGTGAAGTATGAACTAAAGTACATAGTGCCAAAAATTGTTAGGGTGTTTTTACGGACAAAATTACAAATTGCCTTATCAAAAGTTAAGTGTTGCATGTACATGGATTTACAACTAGATTTTCTAGCAATGCAAACACTAGTGAGAAAATGTGGACTAAAAAAAATAAGTGTTGCGTGTAGGTAATCCAAAGTATGTGGTATTAATCCAACTGGATCTTGCATAGAGAATAAAAGAGAGAGGCCGATCACATAAAGGAACGGGTATGCTCATCAGTAAGGTTCCTGGACGACCGTCTACCACCACATAGCCTCGCGGGTGGCATGCTCTAGGCAATTCGACAGGGATGACAGTGTGTGTGTGTGTGGGGGGGGGGGGGAGCGCCTCCGTGCCAAACTCTGGATTCGGTTCCTCCCTCACGGATGATATGCTACTTCCTCCAACTCTTATGGAGGACCGAGGCATCTACTCGCGCGCTCTGACCCGGTGCCGCTTCTGGCCCATGGACCGCCGCATTCAACCCCGATCTACGGAATGAAGTGGCTTCCTACACAGGAAGGAGATACATGTTGCCTGGTCACACTTCTGTCAGGGCATTTTTGCCATTACACGAAGTGGAGGTAGTTTTGTCCATTTCATCGGCGCATGGGGTACAAACTAAAAAAACCGTTATGGCTCTCCCAGGTTTACACCAAAAGCGTAGATATTTGGTCGGTTGCTCGGGAACGTTCACGCCAATGCGAGATCTTCACGCCAACGCGCAAACGTTTGCGCGGGAGTCGAGTCATATCTCTGTTAGTTTGAATGAAGAGGGTTAGCCTTCATTTATTATCTAAAGCCTCCGATGAGAATATTTTGCACCTGAAAATGTTATATTGGAATTCGACATTATTTGGGAAATGCTGGGCTGAAAAGAAAAAGTGTATATAATAAAGATGGTCGGCTGAAAAGCTGGGTGGGGACCCAAACACACCGGGGTTTCAGTTCCAAAAGGGGGAAAAACGGTGGGCTTTGGTTTTGCTTGGCGAAGCTGCCTTCCATGGAGTCAAGATCCGGGCGTCGTCGACTTCGTTCGTCCCTGCAGATTGCTGCTGCTCAGATGGAGGTGAGGCCGGGGCGTCGCCTGCGTTTCCCGCAGCCGCAGCTGTGTAGCCCAAGCGGCGGCGGCGGCGAACCGGATCGCATCAGCAACCTCCCGCAGGAGCTCCTCCTCCTCATCCTCACCCTCATGGGATGCGCTGCCACCGCCGCGCGCACCAGAGTCCTCTCCCGCCGGTGGCGCGATCTCTGGACGCATCTCCGCCGAATCGTCTTCCACAACCTCGCGCCGTCGATTGTACCGGCGCTCGGCCGTGTCTGTGCCCCCCCGGCCACGGCCGCGGTCTCCCTCCTGGAAGTCCGCATCCCCAGCAGCAGCAGGCATCCCGGGCCCTTCGGCGCCACGGCCACCAGGCTGCTCGGCGCCGCTGTGGGGCTGGAGCCGGAGGAGATCGTCTTCAGCTTCCCGTGGGGCGTTGAATTCGAAGACCGGCGGAACATCGTCCGGCTGCCGTGCTTCCAGCGGACCAAATCTCTCATGATGGAAAGGCTTCTCTTCTACTGCCCTGACGGCGAGTTCACCGCGCTCCGGACGCTGTCCATCTCCTACGGCCTCGGCGGCCTCCACAGCTTGCTCCCCCGATGCCCGCACCTCCTCGTGCTCAGCCTCAAGTTTGTCAACGATGGCTTCGGACTTGTCCGGAATGGCTTCATCTCACTCCACTTGCCATCGCTGCAGGAACTTTTCCTTGAGAGCAACATAATGTACGCAGATGCAGCCGATATCGTCGCCCCTCTGCTGAAGCGACTCACGGTGTCCTTCGGCACTTACAAGCTGCTCAGCAGCATCTCCGTCTCGGCGCCAATCTTGGAGAAGGTTTCGTGGCAGTGCTGGTATTTGGGGGACGGGAGCATCGTCCGGTTTGGTCGTTGGAGCCTCCAGAGGTTGTGGCTACACACAGGAGAGACACAGGGACAGCTTCCTACTTCGCTCCACATTAGTGCCTCTGCCTCCAATGTATGTATCATCCACTCATCTCAATTTACTCAATTTACCGGAACTAGCAAAGTGGCAATGCGGGGGCAACATCCTATATATTCTCAATATTTTTTCTCCTTTTATCTCAAGACAGAATTGTACAAATGATATATATCCTGTGAATCTTTTTTCAGAGCTCCTGGTTTATTTCCAATGAAGACAACTTTGCCCAGGAGATACAGAAGCACCTGGTTGCTGATTTCTCTATTTTGGAGCTACGTCTCCTAAAAGCCGGACATGTTTTTGGAGCACTGGTGTTTCATCTCCTCGGGATTACTCGTATTTCTAGAGGTATACAGAGGCTTAAGATCGTCCTAGAGAGATCGCGGGTACGTAACTAGTTCTCCCCTTTCATATTATATCTCAATCATACACTGTGTAGTAGTAATTTACATTTAATTTTTGGTTTTAGCTGAAAGGAAAATGCTCGCCAAACTGTTCGTGCCAACCCACAAACTGGAGGTCTCAAACTATCTCCTTGACTGCTCTTGAAGAAGTGGAAATCAATGGCTTCGAAGGACAAGAACATGAGTTTGATTTATTGAAATTAATACTCAAATGTGCACCAGCGCTTAAAAAGATGATACTGCAACTGTCACAGGAGGCCTCATCTAATAATAGTGGAAGCGCTAAAATATATGACATCTGCAGCGCCAATTCTTCAGTGGAATGCTATGTTTATCAGAGCTCTAGTGAGTATTTATTCAGAATCCATGATCAGCATGCTCCTATATATATGAAATAGTAAAATAAATGTTAATACTTGTATGTTTTCTCAAAACTTAATCTTTCATTCATTTTCTTGTTTAGGGTGGTTGAAATGTGGTATTGACATCCCAATTAGAGTTTAGTTGTGCATGTATCCCAGTTATTGGCTAATTTAACATGCTATATTTATCCGATTTTGTGTGCCCACACCTTGATTTTTACAGAAATATAAGCTGGATATATACTAGAGTTGGTGATAAGAAAACATAAATATTTTTTTTGTGGGCTTGCTTACCTTATTTGCCCTTTTGCATTCTTCTGTTTACCGTGCCCTTCTGTTTTGGGTCTGTATTCAAATTTATAAGCTATAGCTGAAGTGGTATCATCTAATTTTATTGACCATCCAATTTTGCACATGTTATTTAGTTCCAGTGAGATTCTGTTTAGCATGTACTGTGGTATTTGTTCCTTCTGTCAACATGTATTGTGTTTTATTTGCAAGTGACAACAATCATTACACATATAACAACTCTACAATTGCATGGGGCGATACTTACTGGAGCTAGGTTTCAATATTTCTCCTTTGCAGGGCTAATGCATGGCTGCCAAATTTATCCCTTGACATGATTCCTGTCCTTACATTTGCGGATTCAAGTGCTCATCGACAAACATCGTCCTTTTCCCATTCTGAACAGTCAATTACCTAGTCTCAAGACTTTGTTCAGTTGCTTGGACAGAACTTATCATGTGCATGTTGTATTACCAGTGTATTGTAGCTCTTTATAGGGAGCTCAGTTAAATCTTTATTGGTTTCAATGCACTCAACCAGTGATTATTATGCTAAACCTTCTATTTCGATTGCCTTGTGTTCTATTACATTTTACCAAAATACCAGCGGCGTCCCGTTTGGGACCGGCGCCACTAATTATCTACACCTATATGTGGGGGCGGGGGGCGCGGAGATGTTGTCAACGGCCAAAGCAACGGTTGCACCGCTTGCAAACCCACACACCACCAATAGAAAGGCTTCCTAGTGGAAGGTCATCATTTGCACGATAGTCGTCAACGCCGATTAAGGAGGGCTATGGAGGTGGACATGAGGTCGAGGCCTCCAACGTTTAGGAAGCCACTCAAGTTGCCTAGAGGAAACTGGGTTTGTTGCGGCAGCGATGAGTTCTGGTGAAGGAGGACATAAACTCTAGGGTTTAGTAAGCAGGGCCGGCCCTGGGGGGGGCAGGGGGGGCGGCCGCCCCGGGCCCCCAACTTCCAGGGGCCCCACCCCAGGTGTATGTAGGCACAACAGTCTGTGCCAGAAAATAAAAATAAAAAGGGACTGGGACGCTGGGCTTTTGCGAATGCAGGTACGCGCAAGCAGCAACAGCAGGCCAATAGCCCAATCCCACCCAGCGATCGATTCGGACGAGATCCCTTCACGTGAAAAAACGAGCGATCACGATCCCTTCCTACGCCATGGTTTCCAAAACGGCATCCCGCAGCGATTCCTAGTCCCAGCCCTAGGCCCGCCTCCTGCCAGCGGTTTCCATCACGACATCCCACAATCCACGATGATTTCCTGCTAGTAATTCCACCCTAATCTAGTTCACCGGCGCCGCTGATTAGAATTCCCGGGGCCCCCAACGTCTTCCGCTTTGCTCAATTCCCGGGGTCCTGTATACGCAGACGCACAGACGAACTGACACTCATCAGTCATCACAGAATCGACCATGAGGTATATCATAATTGTATTGTTGTTCCTTGATGTGTAGCCGGCGCCATTCAACAATTGATGTAACCATTTTTCTTCCAGCATTGTGTGTTATAATATTATCGACAAACAGTAAGGATCCATCGGGTAGCGATACAAGGTAAAAGGAAGAAAGTTTTAGTCTGTGGATAAATTGATACAATCACAACGCTAATATATTCACAAATTTCTCAAAAGTAATATTGGTGCTTCAACTGCTTAGATAAACAGACGATGAGTTGGTCACGGTTGCCATAGAGGAAGAGGAAGAGCAACCAACTCATGGGAATTCAGAATCAGATCAGCAAAAAGGAAATGTTAAGGTAATATATAAAAATCATTTGATGTGCATAATGATTTCAGATGCATTTAAGTGTTATTGATAATATTTCATATATACGTATATTCGTGTTAATATCATGATGTCTATATTAAATGCCCCGAGTTTTAGTTTCGCCCCGGGCCCCCGAAATCTCAGGACCGGCCCTGTTAGTAAGGCACTCAAGGCCGCCGACAAGAAAGAGGGTGTTGTATGGAAACTTATATAATAATGCCCCTCTACCCAATGGAATTTACAAAACAACACCTCTATCAACGAGATTGGCAAAAATGACACTGGTCAAAGCGCAACCAAGTGACACATGTGAAGGAAATATGCCTTAGAGGAAATAATAAATATGTTATTTATATTTCGTTATATCATGATAAACTAGCATGTGAACCCGCGCATTTGCGGGGCTAGAACTTTATTAATATATTGCTTTATATATTTTAAACAACCATTTGTTGGCATTTGAGTATTTGCTTTTCTGTGGGGTGAAACCAACATAGTATATCATCAAATTTTAATTACGTATGTGCCACTAAAATTGGTTCATAGTAATGGGTCTTAGAATATGAGTCTGAAAAGATGATATTTATAGCTATTAATATATGCACTGGGGGCTATCTCGATGTAGTCACGTTATTTAAATATATATGTACAATTATTATTTTAACATCATTGCTCTTATCCAAGCCTCTTTAGTCATGAAGTAACTATATTCTCCTTATATGGCATGTTTCATTGTCAGTCCCCTCTATGAAACAAATGTAGTTGTAGTCTCGGGTTATTTGCTTTTAACTATTTGTCTAGAAATTTCATGCTTAGTTATTATATCAAAACCGGATCTTACGACTTTAATTTCCTGGACTCATTAAACCCAAACCCCTATAGCATTGAAGTGTGATTATTAGTTAGATAGACTGCTAGCAACGTGGAGTACGCTACTACCCTTCTTAAGTGGATTGATTTATACCATACTATGCATTCAGTTACTGTATCATTATTTTACAAAATAAATAAATTCAAGCATGGTACTTCAAATGTGACGTTTATCCGCCATAATGAGCACGTGTAGGCCTTCTAGGATTTTTGACCTATGATTTTGTGTTGCCTGTTTCTAACAACATTTTCGAGGTCGTATTTGTGTGGTATCTATTGATGATAGCATAAATGTCCGAGTATGCATGTCTAGTGGTATATATTGTGTGGTTGTTCTCCTACTATCACATCCAAATCATCCAGCCTGTCGCAAACATATGACTTTACCCAATTAATAGTCTCCATGTATAAGCTATTAGGGAAAGAAAATGCGAAAATAGAAAGGTGAACATGGGTGCACGCGCATCCATGTGAATAGTAAATTCATAAAAAATAATAGAAAGAAATAAAAATTTCTGAAATTTCGCGGTATGAAACTTAGTCGATCATTCTATTCACGTGTGAAGTTTCATGATGTATTGACACCCATGGTATTCTTAGTGAAGAAAATACAAATGCGACCATACTATTCATTAGACAGTGTTTTTTAATAGCTTCAATTAGCTTTGATTTTGTCATTTTCCCCCAGATTACCACAGATGTGATCTATTTGTGAAACTTCATATGCGAGTATACCGGTTGACTATGTATATTACAAAAATAATTTCAGATTTTTTTGATTTTTTCTAGCATTTTTTTGAATTTACTATTTATAAAAGGTGTGCATGCACCCATGTTCACCAAATCCGATGTATAGTACCAAATTGATTTTTTGAAAGTGTACATATTCATGCTTCAAGCACGTGTAAACTTCATAAAAATAGTGCATTCGGTAACTTATTTTTTAATGCTCTGAAAAACAAACTTGTAACCGTGAAAACTTAGTTTTAAAACGTCACACAATTCTCGTCAATTTTCATGGAATTTTACACGAAGAGTAACGTGACCAAAAATTTTGACATTTGAAAAGATATTATTGTTATGGGATTGCATTGGAGCTCATCTACTTGTTTGAAAATTTCTTACCATAAATACTTAGAAGGACCATGCAAGCTGGCTCTTTGAAAAATTCATCACGTCAAGGGCGCTGCAGTGTACTCAATGACTCCTTTGCTCCTTGTGATGCTTCCTAAATGCGCATGCGGTCACATCGGAGTCGGTGGCTCTGCACATGTTGGTGCCACAGCTTGTTCTTTCCGTCTCGACGCGTTACTGCCCCTGAACCGCTCCCACTTTGGGACGCAGCCTAGGCACTGCAGCTCCTACTCGGCTACTCATTGTGCTGGTATGCTACCTGCTGCTGCACCTCCAGCTCCACGTACACCACGCATCCATTGCTACACGCTGTGGTTCACTGCTACCGCAGCCACCTCCCTATGCAGCAGCTGCAAGACTGATGGCCCCTCGCTCAACCGTTGCCTACTGCAAGCGTTACTCCCACCCTTTTCTTCATCTTCAGCTGCTCTCGTCCATCCCGCTGCTCTCGCGGATGGTTCATGTGGTAACCATTGCTTTGTTTGTGAAAGCAGTCATTCTCTGAGCTGATGGCACCTGCAGTCTCCCGAAGGTGTTGTGGCAAGAATTTCTCTGTTTCGATGGCGATGACGGTGTGGAGTTCGCTGGACACAGTCTTGCCGGTGTCAAGCGGCACGCTGGTTCGACAGCGCCAGCGTGGGCGTTGAGGCCGAGAGAAACTATGGACTGTAGCCGTCAATCGCGAGCTGTGAGGTGACGGTGCCAATATCAGCCTGAGTGTGTGGTGCGTCGAGGTCGTCGGCCATGTTGGAGATTCTGCGCACTTCTCGGTGAGGATGGTGGCCTTCTTCCAAAGCATTATCTCGGGGTCTTTGTTGTCCTTCGGTTGCTCCAATCAGCTCAGCAGCATCTTGTCCCAAACGTAGATTAGGACAACTTTCACCTCAATGCCAACGCCGGTTGCGCCCCCATGGGATCTCCGATGCCCTTCTCGGAGTGGAGGCCAAGCCGAGGCGACCTATGAGTTATGTATATATTGCCTCAGCCATTACAAGTGTGATGCGATTACAACTCTTTTTTTAACGTGCTGAACTTTTTTTAGCGTGCCAAAGCATTTGTACGTGTCAACAATGGATTGTAACCCAATAGATGTTCTACGTAACTTTTTTCATCTTTTTATATCTAGGCCGTTATAATTAGGATCAATGGATACTATTTTTTTAGCATATGTGGACGAACGTGATGGCTTGTTTGACTCTTATTTTAATTATATAATAGATGTTTATTATTCATACTAGAATTGTATTAACCGGAGACTTGATATATGTGTGAATATATAGACAAACAGAGTGTCCCTAGTATGCCTCTACTTGACTAGCTCGTTAATCAAAGATGGTTAAGTTTCCTAACCATAGACATGTGTTGTCATTTGATGAACGGGATCACATCATTAGAGAATGATGTGGTGGACAAGACCCATCCGTTAGCTTAGCATAATGATCATTTAGTTTATTGCTATTGCTTTCTTCATGACTTATACATGTTCATCTGACTATGAGATTAGGCAACTCCTGAATACCGGAGGAACACCTTGTTTGCTATCAA